AATTCCGACGGAAAGTGGTTACTGGAAGGGCCCTGGGCTGATTTTTAGGGTACCACCCGTAAAATAAAGGACTCATATTGGGCTTGTTTCTGCAGTTTTAAATACCCAAAGAATGAAATACTGATTGAAATGTGCTGATGTGAAGCAATATGTATTAATATCATAAAGATTGCCTTAATCATAATATTTCCAGTTTTGCTGCTCTGAAATCGCATTGGATGCCTTTATCATATGTTAGCAAAAATATTCCATGGCCTTCCATGCTAAAATCATCAACTTTCTGATTAATGGTACGAACGGAAGCTTGTGACGACCTAGTCCATGAGATAAAAATATCTCTCAAGACATGCCTCCCGGAAAACCTGCAATAGCGTGCTTTCTACAGATCTCTAGAGTACATAGATATAGAGAATATTGGTGAAATCTATTTATGTCTAGTCCATTTGTACACTACCAAGGGTTATGCCGAAAGCAACTGAAATATTTCTCGGAAAACGGTTCAATTATGATGTTAGGATGTCTCAAGCACATCCTTGGACTTTGCTGAGCTTTAAGATACGAATGTGCCTATCCGTCATTGTAAAAGGCCGCATTGAAGAAGAGAACAAAGAATATTTCTGAATAAAAGTAGGAAGTAAAAGTTACGACTATGCCAAAACGGCACTGAAAGTCTGAATGGGTTCAACAAAGTCCAATACATACAAATAGATATTTATATATAATAATGAATAATAATCTGCAAAGCACATTCAAGCTCCATTCGTAATACATTCTTCTATGATATACCGCTTCTATGATAAGTGCTTTCAAATGATTCAACACCACCAGTACCAATATTGATTGAAGATGATAACTATAGATAGAAAACCGTGCCCAGGTGAACTTTCTGTCGTGGTCGATCTTCAGGCAATTCAGTTGAGACCAGAAAAAATCACGGTCATGAATCGACATCAAGGCAGAGTCGCAGCTCAAGGCTCGAAAGTAAAGGTGGTCCAATGGCCACTGGCCACTAGAACTTAGCCTGGGACAACTAAAAAGAAAAGACATTTTTGGAACAATAGAAATATATTCAACATCATAATGTCAGTCCTCCTTTTGTCTATCAAGCACACATCCCGGATTTTCGATCCGGAAAAGTCTCCCTGAATTTCCTGTCTACTCTGCAATTACAGTGCGCCTGGGAGTGAACATAAGCAAAATAAAATTGACTTCAATTTGAAGTCATACAATACTTCCCAAAACTGGTTGGGACAGTTCATCCTCGCTACGGGACAATTGAAATTTATTTTTGGGACAGTGCTGGGACAATAGGAAGAAAAGTTAATGTCGAGGCCTGGTAGCTATTCTTGGGTTGTCCATGGTCTCACCGCACGGCAAGGCCAATAACTCTCCATCAGCCCAACTAACGAGCTTATTCATCTCAGGACTGCGCCGCGCTGTGAGATAACAGAATTGATTTGTCATTCCTATGGGTGACATTATCTAGTATTGACAAATGTATCTGACATGTACAGGTCTTTGGGTGGCAGGAGGAGTGCTCACAAGCAAACGGCTCATGAAGTTTTGGCGATGAAAGCATGAAAGGTGTCTTTCTTACGGCAATGCATGGGAACGAAGGCAGAAAGCTAGGCATGCATGACTGATGGTGTATTATAATTGGCCACATATTATCAAAGGCATATATTCGGCAGTATCAGCACTGATAGTAGCTAATTTTGCGAAAACAAGTCACCAAAAAGTTCCTTCACGCACCTATATGTGGGGCATAGGATGAAAAATGTGGGGCATAGAATGTGGGGCATAGTATGAAAGGTGTCTTTCTTACGGCAATACATGAAAACGAAGGCAGAAAGCTAGGCATGACTGATGTTGTATTATAATTGGCCACATATTATCAAAGGCATATATTCGGCAGTATCTGCCCTGATAGTAGCTAATTTTGCGACAAAAGTCACCAAAAAGTTCCTTCCCGCACCTATATGTGGGGCATAGGGCGGCACCCATATCCTTTAATATGACTCTGTCGAGGATCAAACTCACGACCTACCGAATGCAAGACGAACACTCTACCCATTTGGCTATCTATATTGCAACAGTCAGATCCTTGCAACAGAACTGTGTAGAGAATTCATTGCCTCGTATGTTGTTGACACGACTCGACCTCTTGACCACAGGTTGACAAGTATGCAATGTTGCAGCAAAGTGACGTCCTCAGTCCTAGCAAAAGCCAGATCCTTGCGGCTTAGACATCCCCGTACTCGGACGAAAAGTGCTCTGCTTATCTTGACATCATCAAGCGGTTGACTTCCTCGTCTTCCCATGTTAAGCCACTCTTAAACTGATCCCCGACTTTTTAGGTTAATGGAGCTCTTTGTCATTGAACTGACGTTGAATAAAGAGAGGGATATGTGATGGTAAGAACATTAATCCATCAAGAAGGGGGAGGGCGACTGAGGCCAGCCTGTCTGAATGTGGATTCGTCTGTATCCTAGAGCACTTCAACCCCTAGGTGAACTCAGTCTACAACCCTGTTTGTATCTATGGCGCCACGATCCATCTTAAGTTATAAGACCTGTCCTGCCATTGCCACTCAGTAGAACGAGTGTACTTCTTATCTTTTCAACTATCTTACCGGCTTAGGAACGATATCTTAATCCATTCTGAAGGATAGATTCACCAGGTGGATTCGTCTTTTACGTTTTTCAATTCTGCCTCGAGCATTAAGGAAGGAATCTTTGCATAAATACATCCGGTGCTCCTCACTTTATCTAGACATGAAAGTAACTGTTGACAGCAAACTTTGCTATTCGTCGTCGAATGCCAAAGCTTATGCGAACGTGAACTTTCAACCAAAGCAGTACCTTATCATTAGGGCTACATATGTTACATCATAGCTGTTCTGTTGGCACTTCTTGTCTCAACCTTCTCCGAGCACTTAAATGCATATCTTTAAAAGAATCTGCTCCAAGAAATCGTCATGGACTTTCAACTAAAGCTCTAGCTAGCCATTAGGAGTAGAAAAGGCCCGTCATGGCTATCTTATTGGTACTTCTTACAGAAAGGGCCACAACCTCCTCCAAAGTATATCTTTAAAGGAATCCCCCTCTCCTTTGTCATATTTTGAATACATATTACTTTCTACCTTCTGGCCTCTGTAAGAATAGGAATACACACCTTAGCGCCATTACGATACAAAATGAAATCCGTAATCTCCAAGCCAGACATATGGTCTGGCTAGATAAGCTTTTTAATGCTCTTACCAAATCCCGGAAACGCACTTTCTCTCGTACTTAGTTACGTCCTTAAGTATATCTCAGCTAGCACATAAGCTGCATGGCTGTTGTAAGTACCCTTACCTGAGATGGGGGAGTGAGATGGTTTTCGCCCCGGCAGACCTCCAAAGCGGTAAACGTTCAGAGACGTATACACAAGGGTGGGAGATTTCGGAGGGTGTCATCAGTCATAGATAATAAGCAGCATTAAACAAAGTATCCACACAGCGTGGTGTGCTAATGTATTTTAGGCCACAGCAGAGCCTGCACAGCAAGTAAACTTTATGGATGACATCCTCCGCAGACTCCAAATCTAATGTGATAGGGCGAAAAAAAAACAATTCGGGTCCCAAAACGCAAGATTCCTACATAGACCTTGATACCTATATTGAGATAAGTTTACTGACAACTATTACAACATTTATAGTTATTACTTTGAACAATAAGTTTTCAATCATTGTACAAATTATTTTTGATTCAGTGGGAACATCACATATACACAGCAACCATCACATATAAAAGGACTGAAATACTTCACTGTATCAAAGAAAAGACAAAACAATAAACCAGAGCCTTGTCTTGTCTCCTCTCTTTATATTTATCTGTCTTCCCCGTTCCGGCATGGCAAGCATCTTTGCCCATTTTCGGCATGTTGACCACTGTCAGAGGGCAACAAAATTTCTTGTTCTTTTTTTTTCAAAATCAAGCAAAAATTAATGCGCGCGCTGATGTCATCCATAAAACGTACTTGCTGAGGCCTTACATCAAGCCGAACATGATACCATACGTCAATGCCTTTGCCGCTAACTGCCGGGGTGAGCACAGTGAATGGTCTTAAATCATCCCCTATCGTAAACCATCTCACACTGCGCTGGGTGTTTAATGCAAACTGATTAGGATAATAACTTCTGGTGTCAAACGCGTGCAGGTTAAAATTAATAGCAGGGAACACAATATAAAATGTAAATGTAGCTCCCCTTTTTCTATTCAGAAAATTCTCTCTTCCTTAAAGTACGTCTGACTAAAGTTGGCTTTATGAAATATTTATCTATTTTTTTTTATTCACAGATTTAAAAAAAACTGTAAGTGGCCAACAACAGATACCTGTTTTTTCTACAATACTACTCAGAAAATGTACAAGGTATGGTGAAATGAACAAGGAAATAAAACTAAAGTTTAACATCTAACTAAGTACTGTACTACTGCTATGAAAGGTAATGAATAACTAATGATAATGGACATATTGTGTATGTTTGTAATGTAATCATTATCGATGTAATTCCGAGAGATTGACTGACAAAAATGCATTACGCGAAGAGGCGAAGGCGCCTCTTCCATTCGGTGAGACGTAGATTTACAGTAGCGCCAGTCTAGGTGGTGCCTGTTCAATCCTAGTCAGCGTTTTCAACTCCACACCACTGCACTCTCAGGGACTCTAAGATTACAGCTCCAATGCCTAACTTCTGGATGATGAATTAGTACTATACGTCGGCAACAAGAAAAAATCGAAGCGGAACGTATAAAGAGAGGATGTCCAAATCCACAGGCTGGTGGGCTTGCTGCCTGATTCCTGTTAATCTCCTTTTTTTGCAGAAGTCTGGAGAAAAGTCAATAAAACCGGCTAGGACTGCTTCTCTCCAGTGCTTTACCGGATTCTGAGTCTGACAACTGGTAAGATTGATGTGTTTTTCAAAAGACAGTGGATTGATCAAGCGCTTTGATACTTACGGTCGCGGACTTGGACTTGGACCGTGCCCAATGTTTCCCCTCTGAAGTTAGGCCAGGATTCTCTGTACCACGTCTATTGCGTCATCTTCGTCACCTATAGACCTCTCAACGGCTCAGCATCTGATAAGAAAAGTAGACGGTTTGAAAACGGCAGGTTCTAAAAGTAGGCAATTGCCGCATGTTACTAGATGTTTTGAAACCGTGAATCCATAGAATACTGAATTACCGAATACATTAATCTTTATTTGCATGTTCATTCCCATGGGGCTACATGTATATTATATCAAGTAGCATAATACATGGGATAGAATGATAAAAGAATAACGTAAAACTCGTTGGGCCTACTAGAGAATACTAGTATATTCTATCTAATCTAGGTCTTGAAGATTTCTTCCCTCTTCCAACTGGAGATGAATTCACATAGTTTTTCCAATGTGTGGTCATTACTGGTGGACATGAGATGACTGAATATCTCTTTCTCTGTTCTACATTTACACAGTTTGCCTGGTAAAAAGTTAAGTTCCAATAGCCTTTGAGGCCGTGGGAGCAGTGTATCTATAGCTTGGGTACAGTATTAGAAGGTGGGTCCCAACCCTCCGATGACAGTACATATCTAGGCATCTCAGAGGCGCACTCAGACTATGGCATCACCACAAACCACCAGAATGTAAACAAACATGGCTGACAGCTGTGTTTCCAGATTCTACACGCAATCACTAGGCATCATATTCTAGCACCTTCACCTGGCACTTATTTCCAATGGAGTAGTTGATTCATCTCACTTTGCAAAGAAATTATCATAAACTTTACTTTACTGTATCGTCCTAATGTCACATCATTCATCTTTAACCTGATTCCGTGGCATCTGCAGGGATTTCACGAAGCTAGAACTAAATGTACTAGACAGAGAAGAATTCGCCATGCCTTACATCTACTAATTATGTGCATGGCGTGAGAGGATAGGACTGAAAACATGATGAATCAGCACTGACTTTAAACCAATTACCGACCGTCTGCTGTACCCAAGATTGGGGATATTATGTGCGTAAGTAACACCCGGGGGCCAACAGAAGGGGGTGTCAAAGACAGTAAAGTCAACTACAGGCAATGTATATACGCAGTAAAGTCACCTACAGGCAATGTACTAGTATATACGACCTTTATTACTGCTACACATGTGTCTATAGTTTTATGGTAGGTTAAATCTTGCTGCTGGGTTACTTTTTATTGCAGGCTAATAGCTCTTGGTGATACATGGTGGAGTTTAACAACTGTTTCATATGCAACAAAAGTTTTTTTTCAGATGGACTTTACTTAAAGGAGTGTTATGTAACATTTTCGCACCAAAAATTGAAACATTTTGATTGAAATCTTTGTGTGATTTTGATTTACTTCTACTTTCTAGAGATTTCTAGAGTATTCCTCACTCTACTGTTTATTAAAGAATCTAAATGAGCCTAATATAAAAGAATATACGGCGGTGGTAGATGCAAGTTTGTAAGTGAACAGTTGGACTCACGTATGATTGAACACAGATGCGTTACTATGGGCAGATCTTAACGTGACCAACGATAAGCGACAATACAAAGGTAATAAGACATAATGGAAACCGCAGTTATTAGCCAACTACAGTTTAGAACACAATTGCACAATAAGAGGATACGCGAATTATAGAAGCTGACTTTAAACTATAAAGGTAACTTTGATATAGTAATTTCAAACTTGTGGGCCATGTTTGGCTATTACAGATAATAAGAATATACGGGGGACCAAATCATCAAACTAGAAAATACATTAAGCAATTCCGCTATTGAATACAAACAAATGTACAATGTACAACGACGTGGCCAAAACAAGAGCTAAAAATGAGTTCCCATTTTACACGGAGTCCCAAACCTTAATGTCTAAAAAACAGACTATAAATCAGCATGTCATAAACAGAAGGCATGAAATATTGTTGGCAATTTGATCGCTCTTCCGGGAAATTATATACAAAATAGAAATTAATTATACATTACATGGTGACCCCATTTCTTATCATAGAGACAGGGAACCCCCCTTGCGTACGCCCCAAATGACCCATGTCAGTCTTTTATACATAATAACCATTTGTCAGCGAGGCTTTAAAAACCAATCATGAAAATAGTAATAGATAGTACCAAGCTACATTTATAGCTCTATCGTCTACAACCGTTGATAGTCTGAACTTTCTTATTACATGGCTTCCAGGTATTAAAAAGAATTTGTCGTAAAGTTTTCAGACAAGACTTATAGTTGTACATGTTGAATCGTGTGTCACCAAGGCTCAGCACTAATAATGCGCCTATGAAGAATAATTGGTGTAAAAAAAATATTTTCTATTAATCAGGGAGCATCATAAAGGGCAACCTTAAATCTTTATGCATAATTCGCGGCGTCTGTGAAAGTCTTATCTGCATCTGTATAACCGGTATAACCGCCTTTCGGCGTAACACGCCAGCTTCGCAGTCACGCGGTACGGCGGCAGCTGGCTTATATTTTATATTACACAGATCGACTTGTTACACCTAACAATTGAACATCTAAACTCTAAACATTGTTTAAAGCTATCTAATGACATTGCCCCTACTTTACTTGGTGACAGCGAGTTCTACTCTGCGATAGTTTCTTGAAAGAATTAATTTTAACACCTCAATCCTTGGTTGATAACTCTGGTACTTGAAGGTATGGCTATTTCTTGTTCTCTTCTGGACTGGTATTTGGTACTTAGTAGTTGGGACGTCCACCAGTTTATTAGTCATTTTATACATCATGCAAAGTCTGTTATGACAAAGTACCTAGACCCATTCGTAATGTGATCTTCGTACGATCTCATACTGCATTCTTGGGGCAGTTGTGAATGTGTTGTACAGAGTTCGGTTGTCTTCCTACGCAAAAGGCTGATTTAGATCCTTGTCGACTTAAAAATTCGACGACGTTCTACGTATAATGAATGAATGAATGAACTTTATTGCTCGACAATCGTACATGGTACAATGTGTGGCAGTAAGATAACAACACTAGAAAACTAAACTTGCAATGTGGCCATGTATTGATGATTTGGCCTCGCTTATGAAATGACGTATACAGAAATTGACTTATGTAGGCAGATATGCAGTTGGACAACAACATAAGGAATGTATCGTTCTGTGTACCAGATAGGGGGAAACTTTGTTAAAATGTAACGTGGATATGTCTGTGCAAAGAACTCTGTGACTACCCACATCTATCCTGCTTTTCATGATGGGCACGGGCTCTCAGCTTGTAAGGTGTAACGAATAGTAGAATTAACAACTACTTACATACCATACAGCTCACAGATTTTTTTCAAAGGATATCGCCTTTCAAAGTTTCTCCAGATTCATTCCGTGTGTTTGCTTGTAATCCTTACATAATGACATTTGCATCTCGTGGCATTGCCAGCACGCGTGACAGGAAAGAGTACTATGTGAAACTCTGCCTCTCTTTGTACTTGTACTGAATTCAAAGCCTTGAGGGGATTCTCTGAGCGATGAATATGATAACAGCACAGGAGGAGAACCACTTAATTACATCAAGGAAGTGTACCGAATGCAATATTGCGGTTTAAGGTTTTACTGCGGTACATACTTCATGAAAATCCTTGGGGAACATAGATGAAGTATAAGCTAATACCGATTTACAACGAACTTCGAAGGTGCCGTCTTTGGTTATTGGACCATGCTTCTACTTTGCAGGACGACTCAATATCAAATCTTAAAAAAATCTAACGTATCTTACCTGTATCAAAACAATATGGCCCGATATAGCCTTCACGGAATTGCTTGTACAGAAGCACTTTGTATTATTGTAATGAAAAGGGGCCGAGCATACTTCCTTGGGGAACACTGAGGCAAGGCAAGAGGATTGAGGCCTGGGATTAAGCAACAATATAAGATATTCAGTCTGCGTGTTCTAGATCCCTAGTAATCTACCCATGGGTTTTATGAATAGCCACAAAAGGGTCTTAAAGCCTAAAGAATTTGTTTTCATTCTTTATTAGACATGATAAAATGGTATTCTGTCACACGGCTTCATCCTTGGTATTATGGTCATGTATAGCAGAAATGTCACAAACATTAATCGTTGAAAGGACAGCTGAGACATATTCTACTAGTCTTTACGACTGCACGTCATAGTACAGACAGCCATTTGCAACTTAGACTGCGGTGAGCATAAATGTGGGGAGCAGCATGCTTACATTAACATCATGTAATTTAATATTAGGCCACAGCAAGTAAATTTTATGAATGACATCCTAAGAAGACTCCGAAGGTTATGCGATAGGGCGAAAAAAACAAGGCGGGATAAGAAAACAAGATCCTATATTTTCACATTTTGACATCATAAACTTTATCAAAAGCAAGAAATGAAACATATATTGTGGTAGGTTTCCTGCCAACTATTATAACAACCATTCTTCACTAAAACAACTTTGAAAAATAAGTTTAAAAAAAAACATTTCTTGTTATCCTTGAAATTCAGGTCCGAAAATGCATCCTTGGGGGACGCTTGTGTTGTAAATCCAAACATACATGTAGGCTTGGCTCTATCCTACCATTTGCTGACTTTGGAATAAAGTGCGTAATGGAAACGAGACTGACTATTGAAGAAGATATAGCCGTTTGTAAAGATGGGTTTCATTGTTCTTCAAGTATAGCACAAATGTGCATTCTGTCTTTTTAGCAATTTGAGATGAACACAACTAGCTAGCATTCACCATTCACTGAAGCTGGTACTGGAGAGTCAAATATGTCGTATATGCGTGCATTTTAGGCCGGAAGGATTACGTACCACAGCTGCTGTGAACTGATGACGGGTGCCAGCATCAATTTCTATGAGCTGCGCCTCTCTTATACTATCTACAGTTCACCACCACGGCCATTACAACAGCTTAGGCCACAGCAAGCAATTTTTATGGATGACATCAGCGCGCGCATTGATTTTCGCCAGATATAGGAAAAAACAAGAAATTTTGTTGCCCCCTGACTGTTTAACATGCCAAGAATGGGCAAAGATGTCTGTGGCCATGCCGGAACGTGGATGGCAGATAAATATGAAAAGAGGAGACAAGGCAAGGC